AGTGGGGCCGTTCCCTTACAGAGGAGCTGCAAAGAGTTGAGCAGGTAATTCGCTCCGATCCCAATGTCATCAAGCAATGCGAAATAAGTGGCATTCCGAGGGACGAAATGCACAAGGTCTACTGTGATCCCTGGACCATTGGCTATGACGAACGCTTTGGGAGCAATGTGCGCCTCCAGCAAGCCCTAATGTACTTTAGGCCGCACATCGACGACTGCCAGTACCAGTATCCATTGGACTTTTGCCCAATTTACGACAGCGACAAGGGTGAAATCATTCACATTGACATCCCACAAACGCGGCGCCCGCTGAGAAGGGAGACCACCATAAACTATTATCCAGCAGACATTGAAGCCAAAGGAGGCTACCGCAAAGACCTGAAACCCCTTGAAATCACCCAACCTGAAGGCCCATCATTCAAGTTGAACGGCCGAGAAATGGAATGGCAGAATTGGAAGTTTCACATCGGCTTCAACTATAGAGAGGGTATTGTGCTCAACGACATCCGCTACAATGACGGTGGCACGATTCGGCCAATTTTCTATCGCATGTCGCTGGTCGAGATGGTTGTACCCTAGTAAGCTGGCCGAATGACCGTGGATGAATTCGCATCACCTGACAATATTTAGTGGCAATCCAGAACGGCCGCATCAGAGAAAGCATGCCTTTGATTTGGGCGAATATGGTGCTGGATACATGACCAACAGCCTCGAATTGGGTTGTGACTGCAAGGGTTGTATTCGCTATCTAGACGCAGAGTTTCCCACGAGAGAGGGTGCCATCCGGCGTATAAAGAACGCCGTATGCGTACACGAAATCGATGGGGAGGTGCTATTTAAGCATACCGACTTTAGGGACGAGTCAGGTATAGTCACGAGAGCGCGCAAGCTCGTTATACAGCAAATCTTCACGGCGGCCAATTACGAATATGCTATCCAAGTACGTATCGCGAATGACGGCGCTATAGGAGATGCAAGCTAACATGCCCGTGTACAGTGGATTTTTCATGTATGTTCTGTTGGTGCATTGTTGGCTTATAGACTAACATTCCGCTAGCAAGATGGCACAATTCAGCCAGAAATCAAGTTGACGGGAATTTTGAACACGTATTCCATCAATCCTGGAGAAGATACCAATGGATGGGGCACCGAGGTGTATCCAGGTACGTTGCCAACACCATCCTAGACGAAGGAGTTGAGAACTGACTCTCCCAAAACAAAAAGGTGTCAATGCGCACAATCACCAGCATCTCTTTTGTCTCAGAATCAATTCCAGTGTCGACGGACCGCAAAACACCGTCTATATGACGGATGCTGTTCCCTCCGACGAACCTGTTGGGAGCCCGATGAACCCCTACGGCAACGCATTCTATGCCAAGAGAACCAAGCTTGCCACTGCTGGACAAGCCATAACCGACTACAACGGAGCCACTGTGAGAACCTGGGATATTTGCAATACCAACAAGATGCATCCGTTCAGCAAGAAGCCAGCCAGCTACAAGCTTGTGAGTCGTGAGGTCCCTCACCTGCTACCAAAACCGGGCTCCCTCGTATGGAAGCGAGCCGGGTTTGCGCGACACGCAGTCCACGTAACAAAATGTATGTTCCCATAGTCCCCTCCTTTTCGCTTTTCACAGCTTGCAAGACTTTTCCGCCTGACTCGTTCTACTCGTGCCGCAGATCGGGACGATCAACTCTGGCCAGCTGGTCGACACGTACCTCAAACCTCGGGCGAGACTGATGTCGGCTTGATGGAGTGGATTGGTGACGGGTCAGAGAGTATTGATAACGAGGACATTGTCTTGTGGCACACATTTGGAGTCGTGCACTTTCCATCCCCGGAGGATTTTCCCATTATGCCAGCGGAGCCCATGACGTTGCTGTTGCGGCCGCGCAACTTCTTCAGAAACAACCCAGTGATGGATGTACCGCCGCAGCGGGCACTTACAGCGAGTCAAGTTCTGAGAAAGACGAATAGTGGCATAGGTTCATCTAAGCTCTAAGATGTGTACGATTATCATGCACTATATAAATGAGGACTATTGAAGCGCGATCGATTAGAGCCATTCATGACTCCCGTCACCTGTAATTCGGGATATGTGTTGGACTGTCTTTTAAGGAAGGAAAAGAGTGACTTTATAGCTATAACATTAAGGGATTTGTTGTAGGGCGTCACGCCGATGTCACACGAGGGCTACGATGACGAGACCGTCGAACATGGGGTTCATCGCTGTTTTGTATGAATGCCTTTGGTGCAAAGAGCCTGAGGACGACAGCCGAGGACCTTTCATACCAACGATTATTGTTGGATGAATTGAGCTATTGAACCAAGCTCTACGCTGAGCCCTTGTTACAATAGGCAAGTGTTGGGTCTTTTTTGTCATGTAGACTGCTGCCCAACCAGCTTTTCAAGACGTATTATTGTTCCCTCTCATGTTCACACATAGTCAAGAAAGGTTGTACAAGATTAGCTAGATGCTTAGAGAGACTGTACACAATATGATACTGCTTAGACTAGCAGGACTTGTAGACAATTACACACAGTCTATTTTCAATGGTTTATTGATGCGTTAGGTGCCAGATTCCAACCAATTAAATCAATCGTAATACAAGGTACTATGAATAGTAGTATACTAGTTCATTTTACATACAGGATAATACATTTCTTTATATTTTACCTACACCCTCAAGTATACATGATACAACACGGCCCCGGCGCAAGAGGTAGTGCCCTACCGCAACACATGTACAGACTTGACCGCCTTGTGTCTATTCTCGCCGTGGGAATGGAAACCCCAGAGACAAAGCTCACCTGGCCACGACACTCTTGGCCTGGCAGGACGGCATCTGATTCGTAGGGTGAAGCCTGCAAAACTGGCCGCTGCCACACTCTCCGGTAGTCTACAGCGACAAATGTCGATTAGCTCAAAGTTGTCGGCACGGGGACGCTGCAGACAAAACTCACCTCCCATCTGCCGCTGCTGCTGCAGAGAATCTGCGTCGGGACGTTGGTGTCGGGGGCGTTTCCGCACCCGTGAATACCCGGGCTGCAGGTTTCAACCAGAAACCCGTCCGCGACTGCTTGCTTGACGCTCGTACTCAACACGTACTGGGTGCCCTTGCCGGGCTGCCCGAACCAAGGTGCGATGGGCCCTTCCCGCACCACAAGCTCCTTGATTACTTGATAGACGTGGAAGTTGTACGGGGTTCCACTATGCCGAGTTAGAAGACAGACTGGAAGCCACAGAAGAGCCGGGCCGGAGGATACCTACTCTGAATACTTGGGGTTGTTTGCCAAGTTCATGGGCGGGAGGGATCGCTGCTCGTACGGGGTGCCGTACGGGGCCACAAAGAAGCCCCGATCCGCGCCGAAACGGTCAATCAGCGTCCCCGGGGCGAGAGTTGTGTTTGTCATGACGGGGTCTCCGTTTGCGTCGAGCTGGAACCCATCCTTCTGGGGATACCGCAGCCCCCTGTCTGCGCCGTACTCGGACAGAAAGGCGCCGGGGCAGCTCCCGGCAAAGGGGGTATAGTTGGTGAGCAGAGGGCCCAGGACACTGTTTGTGAGTATCTCCCTGTTCTGAAGGTCGATTGGGCCGAGGCGATTGTCGCCGCAAATGTACTGGTCCGATGCTGCATGGCTGGGGACGCCGCTGCAGAAGTCCTTTGCGTCGCATTGCACTGCCGTCGCGGCGGCTTCTATTGCATCAGGCACAAATGGCCTTGCAGAGTCCAGCCATAGGAGGGAAAGGGAGATGATTGGGGTGATGGCGTGCATGGCGAATAGTGGTGCAGGCGGCGGCGATACTCGGCAGAGGGCGAATCGCCAATTGAATGGGGCAAATCTGCAACGGTATCGTGTTGTATCGTCGGGACAATGGGCGAGACGACTCTTGCAAGCTGGCTCTACCTGGGTATTTATACAGTTGAAATGTTTTATCGGATTATCTGGCCTTCGAGTCCCGGAGACTAAGCGATGCCTTGGCCCTTGAGACCTGTGCATTGGCAGCCGTGCAGGGGATCGCCTCAAGCACGGCTACAAATTATGAATTCCTGCCGTCTTGTTGGTCCTACCACGCCGACTTGATACGAATCCGGTGTGTATTGCCATGATGTTGTGGCTGAGTTGCAGTTTGTCGGATCCTGCATGCCAAGCAATCTTGACTCGCAGCATGTTCTCGCTATTTTATGGGTCAGAGGAATTGCTGTGCTCTCGCCCGGCAAGCACCTCATTGCACAATCTCGGGAGTTGCACCGCAAAAGACTTAGTGAATGTTACCTTGTACGCCGGCACAGCTGGTTTAGATGCCGTGGCCAAGGATGCGGGCATTTCGAGCTCAGCCCGCACATTACTCGCTTCGTTCGGGTCTGCCCACGGAGAGCCGAACAGCGAGCGAGGTCATAATTTGGTACTTGTAGTTATTGGGCTTCTCGTATAGGAGCAGATTTCGAGGTTCCCACAGGCTGCTTCAACAGTTCAGGGGTTTAAACGAACCTCCACTAGCACCTTGCCAGCACCTTGCCAGTTGAGATTGCGGATCCAGACAAATCAACAGGAGCAGCGGTGGTCCCAGAGTAGGACTAGAAAATGCACCGCACCAGTATCTACGAACAGAGCTGGTTTGCCGAGGTCGAATTGGCTCCCGTTGACTGCTCCTCAGGTGTCCTCCTCGGGGAGTCCAGCTTCGTGGGTGGGTTGCGGGGGTGGGATTGCATTGCCTCGTCGGCCGGGGTTGATGCTGGTCATGAGTTCAATATAACATTTGAACATAAAAGTGGCCTTTGGCAGGCCTTGTTTCGTAGAAGCTCTGAAGCTCCCTCCTGATTGTACATATGAAGGCTTGGCACGAGTACCTGGCAGGGTAGCTACAGGTACCTACATGTAGGAGCTGGTACTTGAGATTAGACCATTGACTGCTTGGCCATTCTGTATTCACTAGTAAAAGTCACTACGAGTGCTGTCGGTTGTAAAGAGGAGCCGTCGATATACTCCGTCCGGTCAATTCTATATTGTATACGGACCCACCTTTTTAGATGACCGTCCCAACACATGCATGTTGTGATAAGCTTTCTAGGTATGGTTATTAACCGGCAGTCTGTTCTTCCGTGCTGGGGTATTATTGCGACATGGAGTAGTTCATTGATTTCAGGGCCCAAGAGCTGTCTCTTGGCGGGCCGAGACTTTTGATCGGCCCGCAAAGCATGAAGCGGGCCAATTCGAGACGTGCGTCTCCAGATGTCACCGTCAGTTCCTGCGATACGACATACGAGTCCCGCCCAAGTATAGAATCTATCAGCCCACGTTGTCACGGGCGACTCCCGCGGCTGTGGACCTCGCCTTGAATATTGCGGTTATTGACACATGTTGCCCCGGACCTATCAGACTCAAAGAAATGAGTCGTGGCCTTGTGTCAGAAACTGACTCCATACAATCGGGTGCAATCCTCGGGCATTTTGAAATGGCTACTGTAATGAACTGCTCTGTCTGCTACGGTCTGCTCAAGACAATGTCGCCACCGCAATTTCATCTGATTGTTTTTCTTCCCAACTATCGAAACGCTTGAAACCCGTTCTACTATCTACATGTAGTGTGATGTAACATCCCCCAAAGAACTACATTGTTGGCTATTTCTACGTCTCGAGTTTTAAAAGCTACCCTGTATCACGTATTTCCACCAGCGGCACAACAGCTTGCGAATTCCCACATTTACTATTACACGTAGTTCTTATTGTCAGGATAACGGCTTTTTCACCGCCAATTCCTTTTACTCGAATGAATATATGCGGTACCAAAATTTGGACAAGCAGGCCAGAGTTACCGTTACCCCATATAGCAGCAATGCATCCCCTATTCAGCACGGGGCAGTATGGACACTGTTCCGATAGTACTATGCCACCAAATAAAGAGACTACTTTATGCTAAAATTTACCATATACGACGTAATTGACCAATTCCGGCATGTGCTGCAGCTTCCCCACGTAAACGAAGAATACACGTTTCACTGCCATGGGATAATGGCATCAAGACTTGAAAAATTTAGAACGTACATATGTAGGCCCAGAACCCCCTCCAAACACTGTAGCGTGTTCTTAAACATTGTGGTATTATATTAGCGCAGCAAGGAGTATTAGATATTAAGGTAGTGTTTCAACCATGCCAACTCTTGTTTCCATCTCGGGGCGTCAATCTCGATTCGGCACTACTACACGTAAAGAACCCTAAACCTGCGTAGCTGGCGCGGTTCCATTCTGACCAGCCGCGGCAGGTGTCGCACTGGCTGCTGAATTTCTGGTCGCTTGGCTGACCGGTCTTTCCTTGGTGACGACGTTGCTTTCGCGGCGGTCATTGTGAAAAGCTCGCAGTAAAAACGCCTCGATTATGATGTTGCAGAGAAGGAAGAAGCTGTTGGAGCACGGTTACCTCTGACGGCGCTGCAAAACGGACAATTGCGGGTTCCATGGCTTACAAGGCAATAAAGTTGAAGGCCTCGACGGCTCTCTTCCTCCCACACCGGTTTGCACCCAACGGCTCTTGTCGACAAAGATGACCGCTCCAATCCACGGCAGAGAAAATAAACGACGTTAACCAGAGGTAGGAGAAGATGAAGTTGACCGGGAGGAAGTAGCCCTCGTAGCTCTTAAAGACGGGGGCAATCATGGCAACCAAATATATCGGGATTGTGATGACAGCCTATGTTACAAAGAGTCGGTCAGTCGAGAGGCGTGGGGTAAGCGAAATTCCATACATACAATAACTTCAGTGTACACTATGTGTGAACCTCGGAAGCGGAAACCGTTGAGAAACCATGATACGAGTCCCGTGACAATGACGGCCGACGCAAAAACCATAAAGTGGCAGAACGCTGCAGCTGCCCTCAAGGTGCCGTGGGCCATGGTGAGAGTCTTTTGGGTGAAAGATAGATAGATAGGTAGCGGTTGGAAGATGTGGTGGGTGCAATACACTCGTGAATGGCCAACCCCCCGGACTCTTTATACCTCTTAT